GGAAAATCGGAGGGAGAGACAAACCATGAGAGACTGTGGACTCTGAGAAACAAACTGAGGGTTTTGGAGGGGAGGGAAGTAGTGCGTTGGGTGAGCCTGGTGGTGGGTATTAAGGAGGGTATGTACTGCATGGAGCACTGGGTGTGGTGCATAAACAATGAATTTTGGAACACTGAAAAAAATTAAATTAAATTTTAAAAAAAGAAAAAATAAAATCATTTTCATGTTGTCTGTTATCATTTCTGGGTCCCCAACTCGTGAGTTCTCAATAGTCAGTAGAGAAATTTACATGACTGGATACAGTGAATGCTCCAAGGGCAGGCACAGATGTCTTTCTATTCCTGCAGATCGGAGATCTTTCCAGGACCACGCACATGCTGGAAGAGAGAAAGTCTGTCTCTTTCTGAAAGCATAGCTACAAACCCAGAGGTAGCGTGCACCGTCTTTGCCCTCACTGTATTTATGAAGACATGTTTTGGTTAACACTGAAAAATGTCATTCACTTTCTACAAAACAGGGCAAATCTGTCCCTGCTTGGCTTGTCCACTATTTTCCTCCTTGTGGCTGAGTGCACAGCCAGGTGTCAGTGGCTTTATTTTGTTTTATTGTTACCTCTGCTGGACAGATGCAAGGTATCCACCCCTGAAAAGTCAACTCATGAGACCACAATGAGATGACTGGGCTGAACTATAAGCAAAATCAAGTTCTGTCCATTCTGCCCCTTACATACCTCTCCACCCCTCTTCCTGCTCTCCACCCCAACCTGCACTGCTCAGGGCCATTTCCTGCTACGACGTGCCTGGACAACTGCCCCGACTGGTCTAATGGTCTCCAGTTTTAGATGCCTCAAACCCATCATACAATTGGTGGACTAGTCGATCTTTCTAAAACGTAAATCTGACCACATTCCTGTCCTACTTAAACCCTTCAGTGGTCCCTTCTCACTGTCCGAGTTAAATCTGAGAAGCCCAGGAGCCTTCACGGTGTGGCCTCCACCTGGACAACCCCTCCATAATGAACCCATCTCCATAATGAACACTCTTCTTAAAGAACTTAACCTTGGAGCCGTTTCCAAGGTCATATTTGTAGTACCATGATTTTAGTTCTCCAAATGCCCCCCCAAAACGTGTGGGTTAGGTAAATGACGGTGCACACGCACCATAGAATAGTCTGAGGGAAATAAAAGTGACATGGGAGAACGCTCGTAAAGTTTGTCTCAACCACAGGTGGGGATGGGGAAGTTACACTTTATCCTTTATGCTTTTCTATATCTTATCAGAGAGCACAGGGTGGGGAGGGACAGGGGGTGGGGAGGGGGGGATCCCAAGCAGGCTCCCTACCCAGTGTAGAGCCTGGGGTCAGGGTCATTCCCACAGGGCTCAATCTCACAACCCTGAGATCATGATCTGAGCTGAAATCAAGAGTTGGATGCTTAACTGACTGAGCCACTCAGACAGCCCGAGCACGGTCTACTTTAATAATTAGTAAGGCCATTGTCATTTGAAACAAATTGTTGGATGACCCATGTTTTCATCATCAACATATACACATCAAATGAGATGTGGAATGACAGCCTTTAAAACCGAGCTCCTTATTTTGCTCTGGTGCAGAATAATTACACGCCCTCTCCTCGGTGAGTCTGCTTGCCAGGGTGCAGGGCCACTGATGCACCGCCAAAAACTTGGGCAATGACATGGAGGGAACTCTGTTCCCTTCAATAGGTCATTTTCCAGACATGGAGCCAGGTAGCCACTACCCCTCCCCCCATTAGCTGGCAGTTTAAAGAATGGCCCTGAAGCTGTCCCATCACTGTGACTTGTTGCTTTCATCTGTGTTTTCTCGGTCATCCTGTTCACTCTGGTTTCCTTTGCTGCCCACTTAGTTCTCTCTCTCTCCCCCATATACTTCTTTGCTCTGTTTCTTCCAGCTCTTTGCCAAGCAAGGCAGCCAAAGGACAGAAAATGAAACTGCAATTTCAAGCCATTATTTCAAATCACATTTGCAACGTCTCTATCCCTACCTAATGCCACAGATCGGTCGGGGGGGGGGCACCCAAGAAAGCCAGACAAAATCCCCCTAAAGGCGATTCCAGGGCTGCACCCACACGCTCCTGGAAGGTCACCGTGAACACAGCAGAGTACAGAGGAGTCACCAGGAAATAAACCCTGCGTCCAAAGCCCTATAAAAACCAAGGCTTCCTCTTCTCAGCATCAGAGCCTTCAGGATCTGGGCTCAGGGGTCCACAGAGGGAAGAAGCTGAGATTAGCCAGGCATCCAAAGAGAGAATGGGCTCACAGAGTTGGTCTAAAGCCTCTACAATTAAGTCACGTTTCTTACAATTAAGAACTTTTAAAGTTTTATTTTAAGTCCTTACAATTAAGTTAAGTTCCCTTGGGGGCCTGGGACCTGGCCCTCGCCTGCCTTCCTAATGTCATCTTTGTTTTCCTGGCCCAAAGCTCCCCAGTATCCAAGAGGGCAGGATTACTCAAAGAGCCCCCAAGGAACCATTCCTCTCACCTGTGTGCTTTTGTCCCTTCAGTGATTGGAGGTTTCTGGCCCTCACCTGCCCAAGCCCAGCCCTACTTGGATAACACTCAGAAGCTCACCTAAGACAATCCCTTTTCCTTAAGAAGAGCCTTGACCACCCCACACTCATGTCAAGCCTGATGTCATTCCTCTCCTCTGTACCTCACCGCCACACACCCCCACCCTGATATACTTGTGTCCCAGCACCAACCCACCACAGGTCTTGTTGGCTCTCCCTCCCCTTGAACTCTCTGAGAGCAGGATGCTACCCTGGCCCCCGCCTGGCTGCTGGTACGAATGGACGCTCAATTCAGGCTTGTTGAATTAACTCAGTCACCCACACACGCAACAGGAACCGACACAGTCCAAGTTGTGGGGTTATGCTCAAAACCCCCTCTACCATAGAAAGAGTTGAACTGAGTGGGAAGTAGGGTGCTGGGGAAATGCTGTTTGGACCCCCGGAGAGCAGACCCCCAGCAGCCTGTCACCCTGGGACTCCTCCCTAAGACCGCTTTCCCCCCAACTTACAGTCCTCTCTTACCCTAGCTGGCTGCTTCGGCTCTCTCCCCTGTGCTCTGGGAGAATGAAACAGCCTAACTGTGGGGTTATCAGTCGGGATGTTGGTGCTATTTCCTGCACCTAAAGGAGAGGAAGCTTCTCCAAGGAATGGGAAGTTGATGGGTCTCTTCACAAAAGTCCAGGGAAAGATATTTTATTCCCGTGGCTTACAGTCTTCCCAAGTCCAAAAACAATCCATACGGAATGCAAGAAAAACGAGAACACAGTTTTCTTTCCACGTTATTCCTTGGAGTCACGGCACATTCTTAAAACACTGGTGTCAGAGAATTAAAAGCCCCTGAATTTATGGTGTACACACAAACCAGGGAATGAGGGGCGTTACAGCATGTTCAAGAATGTGGTTAACTCCACATAGCGCCTTCCCCACCAGAAAAAACAAGTGTCTCTTAAATACATTTCCTGCATGTGGCCCTGGGTACACACCGGTTCTACCCTAAAAAATATAGTTTAGCAGGGCAGTTGTGACACAGGTAAGCATGGAGGGTCACTAGCTTATCCATACTTCTAATTTCAGGAGTAGAGCCCATTGCCCCCAAGACCCATAAAAAAGGAGAAGGAACCAAAAAAGGTTACTGTCACTCAGAAGAAATACAAAAAGTAACAATATTCACTCTATCTTAGGCATACTACATACTATTAAATGGAACATCAATAAACGCTCACCCCAGGGTAATGTAAGTGCAGGGCGGTAGGGACCCACTAGAGAGGACTTTTATTGCGGTAGATGCTCGTTTGCTTTTTACCTTGGATAACAGGAAGTGGATTTACCCCACATGGGCATGAAGAGTTGGTGGGAAGACACCAGTGTGGAATTAAAAAAAAAAAAAAAAAAAAGCAAAACAAAACAAACAAAAAAAATAAACAAGTAAAACACGCAAACCCCAAAGATGGAGGCCAAAAGCCTGTCGCATGTGTCGGCAGTGACAGGTTCGGGAGGCTGAGTCCCAGCGTCTCGGGAACTGGGAAAACAACACTGACTCCAAGGCCCCCGAAATGCAGGTGTATTAATTATAAATCACAAAATCCAGAAGTGTCCTGTTTTTAATCATTTATCAAACACGTCAACCTCAGAGGAAATGGAACATTAGCAGTGAGCTTCTTAAAGTGTAATTTCCTACAAGAGAAATTTATGGCCTATACTTATTCTCCATTAGAGGACGTCTAACCTCTTTTATTAGTTTATTCATCAAGGCAGCCTGGTTTCGGGCCAGCTCTGCAAACCCGCAGGTCATCTGGAAAGGGGTCTCTGGGGATTTTTTTCCTCCTGGTCCAGTAGTGTTTTCCAGATCATAACACAGTTAACAGAAGTAGTCATGGTACATTCGGCGGGAGGTTTTTAGGTATTCCCCAAAAGGCAATTCACAGAGCGAGCCCTAGGGACTACCATGGCTATAAAGTGAACATCTAAAATGTACTTTGAAATGAAATGATTTTCTGTTTGCCGTATGAGGCTTGTGATTGCCTCTCAAAGAGCACTGCTTCCATTGCTTTTACGTTCAGGTTCAATTTCTTATTTAGTGATGTAATAAAGGGGCGATTTAGAACCCGCGAGCAAGGACTTCCCAATCAATGAGTTGCTCGATCTCTCATCCACTGGGCACCATCTCTCCAAGATGCTGTGGCCTATTTCCAAGCAACCCGCACAGCCCCCCAAAACAGTCTCCTTCCCCACATGCACAGCTGTTTCTCTGTTCACCGGACAGTCCCCAGCCCTGCAGAAGAGAGCAACCCGAGCCCTACTCTGTGCCTTCTCCAGACCTCTGTGTGAGTTCACTCTTTCTGAGACTAACAGAACTCTCAGCTTGCAGTGATGAAAACAAAAACACCCGATATGTACAAACTGGTGTGGGGGTTCCAGAACGAGGGGGGAAAAAAAGGGAATAAGGACATCTTACCTTGTTTTAAGGATATTCAGAAACTGCAAAATTTCTGAAAACTGTATCAGTCTGAGAGCTCTTAAAAATCTCAAACCTGGAAAGAGAAATGAAATAGAGACACATTATTCTCACTGCGTGGTTTTAATGTTCACACTCAGCCGTTTGATCTACAGCTGCCAGGGTTGAAGGGATCTGAAGTTCTTACAGACGATTAAACCATCCCCTACCTTGGTCATAGTCCTTCATTCTGATTCTTGACTGGTTTAATCCCTGCTGGTAAACTTTCTCATTAAAGGAGGCCTGTTTTGAGCCACGGTAGAGGAAGGTCCGGTGGGGAAAGCCCCGTTAAACGAGGCTTCTCCTTTGCTCATCTCAGATTTAAAGCGCTGTTTCTAAGTTGCCTACTCTTTTGAGAGAATTTTGTCTCTGAAAAACACTGGGAATGGGGCCAGGTAACCTTTATGCTAAGAGCAGATTACAAACAAATCGGATAACCTGATGTCTTTGATTTTTTTTTTTTTTAAACTTTATCTTCACCTGATAAAATGAAGAGTAAAGGCCACAGTGTGATCCAGTTTCTAGAGAAGTTCTCGTTTTCTCTCCAAAAAAAAAAAAAAAAAAAAAAAAAAAAGTCAAATTGGTAAGATCTCACACCTCATAGCTTCAGGATCCACAACATACATATTTCCACTTTTACTAAGCATCAAGATAAATGCCTGTCCTTTCTAAATTGGCAACCTCTGCTGAATGGAAACCAAGAGCCAGCATTTCTAGACAGCAGAAGAGGGACGGGTACCAGGAAGGAAGATACCATCCAGGATTAGAGAAAATATAAATTATTGTTGTGTTTTAATAGCCTGGGGTAAAATATATTTCTGTTGAAATCAAATTCATGAGTCAAAAACATTCTGAGTCACTCATGGGGCTTGCATGCTTGGCCATCATGTAAGAGAATTACTGACAAAATGCTGATCATCACAGCTTTGAGAGAGTTTCAATATCACACCCTTTGCTAAGGGGATTTTCTTGTACAGATTTTCCGAAAGCATTTTGTCGAGCGCCCCCACATGCCAAGTGCAGTGCTAAGCCCAAGGTGGGCTAAACTGTTGACAGGTAGCTCTTGGCTGATGGGTGAGACTTTATTCCGCCCCCGTAGGTGAGGCAGGAAGCAGTGGGAAGAGGCTGGGGGAGTCACTGCAATGAATCAAGGAAAGGAGACAGATGCAAAGTTTTCCACTCTGTGGCTCCACTTTGGGCCCAGTTAGATTTCGCCCTGTTCAAGCATTAGGGGACAAGGAAAGGCTAACACAAAGCCCAGGAGCGGGAGAAAAAAAAAAAAATCCCATTGCACAAGAGGGAGAAAGGGATAATAGCTCAAAAGGGAAATTTCTCATCTAAAAAGGATTAACCTTCATGAACAGAAGATTTTCTCAGAAGACGCTGGCTTTCTATGCCAAATGATATTTATATTACTTTTACTAAATCAGAAAGTGCAGAGATGAGAGGGGATGTTGATGAACTGAAGGCCCAGGAGCCGAAACACAGTCCTAACAGAACTGATGAAAGGTTCACTTAACGCAGCCGAACGCTGCAGAGAACAAACCTGAGAAATAATCCCAGAACACAGAGAACATAAGGAAAAGGGAGAAAAAAGAATGAAATCTAAGAAAATGGAAATGGAGGGGAGATCACAGAAATCCAACTTATGAATAAAACATGTTCTAAAAGGAAGTACAAACAACCTGTAGATCCTAAGTAATGGGCGGGACATAATCAAAAAGAACTTTCTAGAAAGGAAAAAAGGACTGGAGATTAAGAGCCAAAATGAATGACCAGCTCTTAGAAACTCATGTCGAGAGTCTTTTCTTCAAATTTTAAATATTAACATAAATTAAAAAACAAAGTGTCAGGGTGGGGAGAGGGTCACCATGAATGCCACAAATACAACATGATGTGATAGTAGATATAAATGACAATGGGCAACACTCAGACTCTTAAGACAGGGAGAATTTGGCCCAAGACTTTTATGCCTGTCAAGCACTTGTTCAACAATAAAAATAAAAACAAAAAATGTCTTCAAAAGCCGAGGACCTCCCAGAAAATATATTGCTTGTGCAAAATATTTTCAAAGTTCTCAAGCCTTAGTAAATCAGAATGAGTGGCAGAGGCTGGGAGGTATATTTATAATAAACTCTACTGTTGGTCCTAAGCATCCAGCCCAACCTGACGGCTGGTCTCAGTCCAGCATCATCGGCACACACTGCTGGGAGATAAAGTGACACATTTAGAAATTTGAGGTAGAAGACTAGCAGCACTGAAACCAGTAAGGACACAGAAGGATGTTTTAGTGTCATATTAGCCGCTAATAGTTTCAGCCTAAAAATCCTGTGTGTGCATATACACGCACATATATATCATATACAATATATAACATATTACATAGGTAGTATATATGGTACATATATTACATATATAGTATATATACCATATATATGGTACATATATTACATATATAGCACATATACCATATATATGGTACATATATTACATATATAGTATATATGTAAATATATATTCATGTATACATATATATTTGCATATATTTTTTTTTCATTTATGGAAACAAAAATAGAATACAAATGACCCAAACTTTGAACTGGATTTCTTCCTTTTTACTGTAGGTGATACTGCTGTGTCCTCTATTATTTGTCTGCAGCCTCCCACATTTTAAAGTGACTCATAAAAATATAATAGAATAAAAGCTTTCCTTGTTATGGAGCTGTATGGAAATAAGGGTAGGAAACAATGAATGCAGCAGCTCAAGGTCCTCTAGTCTTGCCAGAGGTAAACTGTAGATCTAGATCTGAGCATTTTGTCAATAAAAAAGCAGGGAGACGCTAGAAGATAAACAACATACAGGAGAGAAAAACAAGCCAAACTGTCTGTAGAGATAGTCATCTGAAGCATGGACCTTTCAGCTCCCTAACTGCTTTCTGCCCTGGACCCCGCTGGCCGATTCTCAGCACAGCAGCCAGAATGAACCTGGTAAACAGTATAATAGATCATGACTCCCCTCTGCTCAAAATCCTCCAAGGTCCCCATTTCACGCAGAGTCAAAGTCCAAGTCCTCCAAGGACCTATAAAGCAACACCACCCCATTTCCTTGCAGATCTGACGGCCTCCTCCTTCTCCCAGCATTAGTCTCCTTCCAACCTGGCTGCCTTCTTCTGTTATCCATTTCTGCCACCCCCCCACAAATTCTTACTCTTTGTGCCCACTTCACTTTTCTCCACAGCATGAGGAAGCACTAGCGTCTTCTTTACCTAAGTGATTTACTTTCTGACTCCTTATCCATAACATCAGTGGGCTGAGGGGAGGAACTGGTGTCTGCTTTGCTCGTGGCTTTGAATTAGAGCCTGGTGTAAGGTGAGTGCTTGGTAAATACCCACCTAAGCTGAATAAATGAATCGGCCTTTTGAAAAAGAAAGAGCAGAGGGGCGCCTGGGTGGCTCAGTGGGTTAAAGCCTCTGTCTTCGGCTCGGGTCATGGTCTCAGGGTCCTGGGATCAAGCCCCGCATCGGGCTCTCTGTTCAGTGGGGAGCCTGCTTCCCCCTCTCTCTCTGCCTGCCTCTCTGCCTACTTGTGATCTCTGTCAAATAAATACATAAAATCTTAAAAAAAAAAAGAAAGAAAGAAAGAAAAAGAATGAGCAGAGAGTTAAAGGTACATACTCTGCATTCAGAACACGGAGACCGCCCAAGGAGTATGGTCTTGCCCTGAAGAAAAGAGCCATGAGTGCTGAGGGCTCACCTGACAGGGGAGGGCTGACACCCTTAGGACATCTGAAGCCTCCTAACCAGGGAAAAGCCATAAACAATGGTCTTTCTGCTATACCCAGAGAGGTCCTATAGAAGCACAGACAGCAAATCAAATTCCATAAAGGAGACCAAGAAAAGGGAGAAGTGGAAAGGGCATGGCTAATTGACAAATCATTCATCTTCTTTGCTTTATAATACTGTATTCTCATCATTTATTCCCTAAAACTTAAAACCTCTGAAAGAAAATGATACTCCAGGAAAACAGAAAATGACTACGACCGAGATGTAAAGAAGAAAATATGTGTGTTCCAAAAACCATGATTTATGCCCCCACAAAGATTCAGATGAATTCAAGTGAGTTCCTTTAAATATTAAGAAATAGTAATCTTCTCTATTATATCATCAAATAATTAAAATGGATGGTTCTCTCATTTTCTGTACTCTGTATTAGTTTAGAAAGCTGGAATTACCTGGGCACAGGTACTCCACATATTGTGGAGTACTAATGACTAACTATAAGAATCCTAATAAAACACTTCTATATCATATCTGAGACTATATTAAATGAATAACACACATGAGCTGTAGTGGATATTATGAGGCACAGCCCAGGTCCCTTCTTTGGAGATCTTTATTCTTTTTTACGTTTTTTTAAGATTTTGTTTATTTGCCAGAGAAAGAGCACAAGCAAGGGAAGCAGCAGGCAGAGGGAGAAGCAGACTCCCCATTGACCAAGGAGCCTGATGCGGGACTCGATCCCATGACCCTGGGATCATGACCTGAGCTGAAGGCAGATGCTTCACTGACTGAGCCACCCAAGTGCCCCAGAGAGATATTTATTCTTTCCTGACTCATGAAGAGATCTCATCGAAGATTATACACTTGCCAGGGATGGCCCCAAATAACCAGTAGATGTGGGGACAAAGACTCGCTGCCCTGTTTCCATTTGGGACAACCCTAAAGAAACATGTGGCTATAGAACTCTACATGGCATTGGCTGAGGCTTCTGTTGCAACTCTACCAGAGCTGAAGCTCTCCACCCACTCTTAGTACCTTCATCTCTTGGCTCATACCCTGAAGACATAAAGGTTCAAAATCTTTGTGATGCAGCAAAAGCAGTTCTAAGAAGGAAGTATATAGTCATACAGGCCTATCTCAAGAAACAAGAAAAATCTCAAACAATCAAACCTTATGCCTGAAGGAACTAGAAAAAGAACTACAACAACAACAACAAAAAACTAGTAGAAGGAAGAAAATAATAAAAATCAGAGTAAAA